TACTAGCAATAACCATATCAGGTTGAACTCCACGCAGATCCCCCTGGAAACCGGGAGCACCATTCCATTATCACCCATAAAAAAAAACTAAAGCTAAGAAAGCTTCGGCAAAACATATTGTATGAGGTCTTTAAAAAGTAGCTAGAATTCGTTTTGTATCGTCAGTAGGAAGTTACGATATTTGCTTATCTACACGCTTGATTGTCGGTGCGACGTTAGATCTTTCAGTAATTATCTATAACAAATATTGTTTTTAAAAACTGTCCAACTTACACGAGGTAAATGCTCAGAGAAGATATCTATCGTAAATGCATAGATATACAAGCGCGAGTTAGTTTATCATAAAGACAGTCCGTCTAAAGAACTTCAAATTAATAGAAAAAATATAACTTATCGCACTTCAAGAGTGGTAATGCACAAGGAATTTATAGTGTACCTATTTTAAGTTTTCTCTTTATTTGGAAAAGCTCTTTGACATGACTTTAATGATTATAGTATTTCTTTTTTACCTAGTTAACTTACCTAAACAGAGATAATAAACAAAGATAACAAAGAATACGTCATCCTATGAAACTATCATACGATGACAAAGTTTACATTCAGGTCTTTTGAGACTTAGAATCCTAAAAATTTATTTGATTGTATTTCATCTATTACATACTCATTGGGGATATCATGTTATATGCAAGTTGCAATAACTTATAATAATAAGATACTTCTATTTATTAATCTCCCAATATCCACTCTATGTATTTCAATGAGAATGTATAATTCCAGCTAGTGTACCATAATAATACACTATTACGTGCCTTTTTAACTATATATGTATTAATATCCGCTTGTTATCTAGGCACGGTAATTTGCCTTGCTTAAATGACATAAGGAACCTCTTTCCATGTATCAAAGACAGTTATATACGATGCACGTTGATAGATCAATTATAAAAAGTAATAATAGTAAGAACATAACCAGTGGTAAGGATCTTAGCAAACGGTAACTACAATATTTACCAGTGGTGTCGGGGTCGGGCGGTCGATGTCTTTGTCTACCATTCCACCAACAACCACAGCACGGCATCTCGGCAAGATTCTTCAATTTCCAAAACTAATTCCCACCGACATTCTAATCATAACATATAACATAGTACAACAAAGTAATCACAAATACGATCGTCATATCTCCAATGATGTCTCCAAGTATTTCAAGTTCTTTCATATGAGATAAAAGAAAATCCTCGGAAAGTTGAACAATAGGTTTGAGCCGAAAATACGTAGAACTTTGTTTTCGAAAGGTATTACGTTCAACGAACTTTTCCCTGTACTAACGCGTGTGGTAAGAAAATTCATGAGAGTGCCACTTCAGTTTACGCAAGCGGAACGTTTTCCCGGCATCGTGACGCGGACTTTCCGGGACCCGACCGCCCCCGGTCGCACTCAGCGCCCGACTGTGTAGAGCTAGAGCAAAAGCTTTTTAGTTAGGCACGAACAATGGCGATGGTGGTTTTCGGTTTTCAGGGCCCAATATTAAGTACTGAAATCAAACATAGTATGTACTAAAATATGTCTTAGTTTCATAGGATTTCTTACTTATGGTTCAGACAGAGCTATTGATCTTACTGGTACGGCAGCTACCGCGTCGCACTGTCAAGTCTAGACCCTAGAATATTGAAACTAAACAAAAAGCTATACAATCGAAACATAATAGTAGTTTGTTTGTATGTATTTTTAATGTCGAAATTCTTTTCTAACTGAATTAATAATGTTAACACCGGTACTGTGTTTCACACAAATTAAATCATGAATACCTAAATTGGTATTTTAAACTAAGTTCTTAATAATATATGGCGCTACGAACTATGCTAAGCTTCAATTAATAATACAGACTCTAGGCTGAGTTATTATAATTGAGGCTAGATAAAATCGACAACTTCGCCAGCTCCGTTTTTTAAACAATTATGTATTTTAGTCAACAGAAACAGATTTGAAGTTTTAACTTCAGCCGAAACAGTCTTTTTATCAATATTAGATAATCAATTGTAATAACCAGATTCTAACAATTTCCAAAAGTACTAACTATTAAATATCATCGAATAAAATAGAATACGTCCTGCTACAGACAGTCAAACTTATCAAGAATACATTTTACGACATCGTAAATAATATTTCTTCCAGTTTCAGGTTATTTACTGTACATAATTTTTACAAGCTTTTATGTCACTTCTTTATACATTATGCCTGTGTTTTACTTTTTCCATCCGTCAGCCATTTTTCCAGTTCATTTGTAATCCATTTTGCAAGCAAATTTTCTCTTCCGCTCATGCAGAAATTTTCACTTAAATCGTAAGAAAATATGACAATGTTAAGGTTTTTGATAGTGCTGGTAGGTATCCATAGGAGTTCTTTAATAAAATAATGTAACTTATGTACTATGTATGTATGTATGTACATATGTATTTAGTATAATAGTTTTTGTTCCAAGACTCACTGTATCTCATGCTTTCATATGATTTTTACAATAAAAAATATGATATATTCAATCTACGTCATATAATCTATATTCACGTCAAATTTGATTAAGATCTATTCAGCCGAGCCGGGGCGACACGAAGAAAATTATTCGGTTTCATTTATTCTTTCTAGTACATCAAACAAAAGTTGAGAAAAAAAGACAAGAAATTAATCAAAGCAGATTAAGCATTGTGACTAAGGCAACAACGATATCAGCGTTTCTTTCAATGGGATCTATTTCATCGCATTTCTAAGTAGGTATCTTTTGAAGCTTCACTAACTAGCACTCCAGCTAGACGGATAACATGTAAAATCGCGGAATTTTTAATTTATAGGTACAGTAGATACCCGTGACTATAGCCACATATATAGGTAATGCCACTTATACCCATAGGACATGACAATTTCTTTATGTCTACATATTTTAGCTTTTTGGCACGCTTTTCACATTTTTACACGTTTGTATGTAAAAAGTGGTTTTATATGTCACATTATAATGTAGGTATATATGTTTTTAAAAAACAATTGACAGATAAAAGACGTCTATGAAAATACTGTCACAATTAAGATTATGATAATATGAAAATATATAATTTTTCAATATAGGTATAAAAGACTTCAAGTTTCCGCGATAATCCATCAAATATTTTTCTTTTTTAATAGAAACGACATTAGATAGCAGACATAACAATACTAAACTTTAAGCAGTGAACCTACTTAAGGGAAAACATGGTAACAGTCTATTGACTGTTGTATGGTATTCCATACAATCTTTAGTTACGCGAATTCATGAATGAATACAGATAATAAGGCCATAAGATCTTCTGAAGGTTGGCAATGATGGACACATGCCTATATTTTGCCGAGCAATATAAATTATGTAAGGGGTGGTCTATAGAAAAAAAGACGTATATTCTAATAGTAAAGTTTAAGCAAAAGACATATTACTCATACATATTTATTGTTAAAATATTTCCAAATATTACAAACTATACAAATATCACAAGCAGCACGACTTGAAAAGGACTAAAATTAAAAATCTGCATAGAGAAAATACTGCTAAAGAAAAATTGTAAAGTCTTGCAAGTATATAAGTTTATTTTTGTTCTGTCGGTTACAAATTTAACAACACAAAATATGTCTCTTAAATGAGTTGCAAATGATAATATGTTAATTAAGTGGTAAATATTCATTATATTCACAGTTAGAAAAACAGCTAATACATAAACGTATGTAATACAATGAAAATATATACTTACGTTATTTGAGTATTTATAATTTATCATCGTAGTATACGCAAATGCTAAATTAATATGTATGACTTGATTAATAATAGATACTATAACGTTGGGTCCTTGTGATATATAGAATACTGCCGTAATGAGAACATAATCAGATATACTATCTGCAGAATAGACAAAGGAAAGGAAGGTACACTCATTCATATTATACACACAATACCGAAGATAATAATGTCCTAAATCACTCTTATTCTGACATAATATGACAGAAGCTATTAGTCATTTAATAGAAATAAAATAGAATAAAACTTTTGAATAGCTGTAGTTTTTTTTTAATTATTCAGAAAGCTATCTCTTCACAAGAAAAATGAGCAAGAAACATTCAGTTCAGGTTTAGTGCAGAACGTGCATTGGTAGTTTCTCATAAAAGTGATCTCATTAGCACCGCTAAAACAACGATATTCAGTAACTCTGTATTTTAAATTGATTTGAGATAGTCGCTTCATGTAGCGGTGGACATCCTACACTGCGTTTGCTTCAGCACTCAAGAACCTAAAATGTGTGTGAATAGAAAATTATGAGAATAACTATTATTGAACGACTTTATCAACGTAATAGAACTCAAAACAATAATTGTTAGAATATACTCTAACAATTATTGGCAAATTTGCCTGTTTGTCTGTGCGTTTATCGCAATAATTTTACCTTGAGCGTGGTTTTGATGTAAATGAATTGTGGTATATATAGATTCACTTAAAATTTAATGTTTGTTTTATAATTGATTAACAAATAAAAAAGTTATACTTAGTAGGTATAAAGTTATACGGGTACGAAATCGAGGAATTAACCAGACTATCTGTAATTGCTTCGAATCGATTTCCATTTCAGAAATTACTTTTAAAAAGTTAATTTATTAAAACTGATATAAGATGTATTGATTTATAGTTAATTCAAGGTACTCTGTTAAGAGGTACCAATAAAACTCTCTTGCTTCAGTACAACTATGTTTAATAAGTTAATATTCCCTGGGTATATTTATATATTTATATATTTTTTATATTAGGAATAGCCCCTAAATAGTTTTGTAAAATAACAAATGGGAATGTAAGTATATAATATTGTCTACTATAATGTATAGAACAGACTGCTAAGATATACAAAAAACGAGAACTAAGAATGTCAGATATCACAATCAATATTACAACCTACCGAATGTGTGAGTTCTAACGAAACAAAAATAAACTGTACTTACCTGTAGCGGATCCAGTTTCAAGAGGCTTCTTTGTGACATCGTGTTGTATAAGTGTATTGTTTGTCTGTTTTGAATTTATGGAATTCTTGTTTGAAATTGTCTGTGGGGCAGTTTTATTGAAAGGAGTGGGCGAGGCAGGCAAAGATAATGGAGAAGAAAGCTTATATGGTGAAGTAGGGGTACCTAAATTTGATGGAAGAGATAATTTTGATTCAGAAGACACGAAGGAATTGGTTTTTAAGGAAATATCATTCTCAGGTTCAGGAGTACAAAGTACTGTGGGTAATGTTATTTTAAGTGAGCTATTTCTTGATGACGCTGCCTGCTCACTCTCTGGCGGATCCATATTAATCTGAAAAGAAGAAAGAGATCTTATTTCGAGTCAATAGTAACCAGAATATAACACAAGAATACAGGAGGGTTAGCGATATGGGATTACTAATGTCGTGTAAGTATTGACCAGCCTAGACATTGCATTAAGTGTCTAGACAGTTTCCAGGCGCGCCGTGAGCAGGCTCCTGTCACTTATTCTATTATATATATAGGTATGTATACTTTAAGACATATACAAGAACGTACATAGTTAACATTGCAGGATAATAATAATTGGCTTATTCAGAACACTTAAGGATATATAATTTAAAGTACTTTATTAGATAAGGAAATAAATGAATATCACGAATTTGTATTCTCATATAAAAACTAGTTATACCCACTATTACGAAATAGAAAATTTTATATTATTAAAATAGTAGATGGCTTATCAAAATAATTATTTAATCTCTTCAGGATATTTTTTTCTAGTTTTCTTTATGTGTGTACCTATGTATATAGTTGATCCATGATTAAGTTCATATTATGTGACAGTTTCATTTTTCCAGCAGTTTTTTCATAAAACACACAAACAGATATACAATTTTTGGGTCGTCACGATTATGTTATTTAAATAAATATAAATTTCGTGTCACGTTGTTTATCGCAATGGAAACTACTGAACCGACTTTGATGCTTAATTTTATATGTGTACTCTGTAGGTTTGAGAACAGGTTATTATTTATTTTTATACCTTAAGAGAAAAAAATTCTTTATTTATTGTATTTTATAGTTTTTATGGTGCGACATTAAAAAATACATATAACGCTAAATTTAATCCTACAACTAATCAGCCCCTATTTTTAATAGGGGCTGATTAGTTAATATTAATTGAATGAAACATACATTTCTATACATAGACTATTAAAACATTAAGATTTCGATAACATCATAAAAGTGTAAATACATCATTAAAATTTTGTAATTACACAGTAAAATTTTGATGATTATTTATATTTGGAGTCATCGTTTAAGTCGATAGCAGAATCATCATTTAATATAAAAAAGCGCCCGCGTCCGCGTAAATATTATATATCAGATATGAATCAATCGATATGTTGGCTGTTGTTGGAAATAGGTATTTAGGTTAGTTAAATCCTAAGATTTAGATAGCCGATGTTATCTAATTTAGTAATAAAATTAGGTTACCTACCCATAGATACGACTGTATTTCGTTTCTCGATTGATCATATTTAAGGTCAACATTCTAAATATTATTGGGTATTTGTGTTTCTACTTTGTTTATTAATCCATAAATGAAAATTGTCTATGAATGATTCCTAGATCACAAATTCAAAGCTCTGACGATGTTTCCAGAGAGATCGATGCCCAATACCTTGAAATGTGTTACCATAATGGAATACACTATTTAATATGTTTGTGTACAAACACCGTATAGGAGAGAATAGGAAGATTACTTCCTATTCTCTCCTATACGGAGAACCTATTAAGGAACCTAAGGATTTTACTGAAGTAAGATACACATTTGAAAAGTTCAAGCGTTCTATTTTCTTATACACATATAATACTGATATACTTAATAATAAGTAGTACATTAATGAGTTAATTAATTTGTTTAGTACAATAATACAATTTTTTCAGTTATCTAAGAGAGTTTTTTTTTGTAAAGTCGACGATTTACCTAAAATGCTGAGAGACTTGTAAAACATTATTACAATTACTTTTTAGAGTACACTACATTGTAACATGCTAGAATATACGGTTATCAGCAAAATATCTCAACTGGTTGGTCTCCTCTATCTATTGTTCGGTAGGTATTATACAAAAATAATTTTTGTGGCCTGTAATTATACAGATAACAATCCGAGTAAATAATGTCTGAAAAAAATGTCAAGTCACTGTCGCACAATTTAATTAAAATTATATTGATATAGTAGATATTAGTATAGTCATGTATTTGAAAATAAAACAAAATTATAGAACACAAAAACTTTATAGGTAGTTTTATAAAAAAAGAACAAACAATAATCAACCTACTGATTATGGTATGGACGGTCGCGTGGCGTACAATATAATATAAGAAAATTATAACAAAGTTGGGAAAGACCAACCGCTCATTTATAATATAAGGGTAATTGCCTTTTATTATATTTATTCACTATACATTATCTACTTAGTTATTACTTTAAAATAAATATTTAAAGTAAGAATATAAAACATGATAATGGTACTTAAAATAAATATATAGGTATAACATAGCGTTGAATATACATGTATGTATGCATCTTGCATACACCTGCTTGTTGATTTTCCTTCTCCTATTAAACACTAAACATAGGAAATCATAAAAACAATTTAGCTTAAAAAACAAGAGAATCGCTTTATTATTAATGATTTATATTTTTATATTCATGTTTCTATTACTACACAGGAATCGCAGGTTGCAGATACAAAAATATTTTGATTTAGCCTAGCAGTAATAATTATTAAGGATAATTTCATATCCCATTAGATGATGCACTAGAATAGACATTATGATCTCACAGAATAAAAAAACCACATATGTTAAAACCAAACAAAACCTTAAAACCATAACAACAGTAGGCAACAGCGCCGTGGCCATAGAGCAGATTGTATAAATAAAAACTAATAAATAGGTATAACACAGAAGTATGCAAAACCGGAAAATTCACTAACCCAAGAATGCGTGACCTATGAAATAATGACCATAATATCCTTGAATCATTATATTGTGGTATGATATTGTGATTAAACGTTGACATTGAAAAACAACATAGCGTCCTTCCTTAGTAATAATAATGTAGGCCTAGTTTAGTCACCATAGGGAGCAAAGTCTTGCGTCACGTCATAAACAGACGTCCAGTTTGGAGCCCCCTGCCTGCTTCACTTCACTCCGACCGCCGACCAACTACAGCGAAAGAGCGAGACGTCGATAATTCAACCACTCCCAGTCTACACTATCGGCCTCTCATTCATTTAGTATACGGTACAATATTTGATAGCACAGGCGCTGCTTCAAAGTTCTCTGCTGTTTTAATTTAGTTGTTATTTGATAATATACATCGAACTTCTCCATGTGCCTGTTTTAAAATATATGTAAGTTTATTGGAAGATATAAACATGGGTATAACGGAAATACTGAAGGCACCCATAGATCTGAAGCTGAAAGTGTTACATGTTGTGAGAATCGTAATAGCTGCAATCGGAAGACTTTTTTATAGTTTGTATTACGGAAATGAAGGTCAAAAGATTCCGACTATTACCGACGAAATTTTGAAAGAGTCAACTATTGAAGTCGCTAGGAAAATAAGACAGAAGGAGGTAAGTCAACAATATAATTCTATTGTAATTTCAGAAACTTTTATTTACGTTTATTAAAAAAAACAAATAAGGATTCGTAACTTATAGCATCAATGGCGTAACCGGAATCATTGTACCCAAGAGATGTCGAATTTAGTACTGCTGGATTGAATTGTTTTTACATATTTTTTAGCTTACGGCCCACTTACTACAAAGCGGGAAGTCGTATGGTAAACAGCACCACTGACATCACAAAATATATTAACACGTTACATATTCAATTCATAGCACACTCCTGTTTCTGTAACGTAACTATATATTTTTAAAAACTTCAGTTCTAACAATACACAGATTGTAGCGGGATTTTAACTTCAGGCTATTTAAAAATAAATTTACAAACTGCATATTTAAACAACTGAAAGGTGTTTCGTATTATAATTCGATTCAATAGGTATTGATCAACAAGTGATATAGAGACCTGATAAGTTATACATAGTTGTTTGATGAAAGTTATTTTTCACAACTATGCACCAGATATTAATCATATTTTGTCATATTATTATTTTTAATGTACAGTAAAAATATTTAATGATTTAGGATACACGTCAAATATGGTATTCACAAAAAAATGGTATTAATTTTAAAATGAGATTTTATAAACAGATAAATTCAAAGCTTTTTCTGTGTTGTTATAAACGTTAAAGCTATTAAAACTAATTCTGAATAACTACAAACTGGTTTCAAATAAGTACAACTTTTACACATACACTGAAACAGAGATCGATAACTAATATTAGCTTGCCACTTAATGTAATATTCAACAAAGCATACATACTAATTATTACATTATTCAGATTCTATACTTATTACGTAGTATATAAGTAGTTATTACGTAGCCACTTTTAATTACGTGCACTTGATCTTCTGAGCCTTGACAGAATATCATTGGACGGGAATAATTAGAATTCAACTAATCGGTACTTATGAATGTACTGTTGTTATAAGTAATATTATGTTAATATAAGACATATTACCATAAATATTATTCAACTTACTCAAAGATAAGGCACCTGAGTAGCTGCCTACATGTATATTGTATAACCCTATGTCCGCATATTTTATCATTTATTAATGTCCTAACGCAGAGTAATGTAATGATTAACATTATTAGGAATCAATTATATAGATGATTATTTAGTTTTAATTGAAATTACCGGCAATAAAAATAAGTACAAGTCTAATACTGTATAGGTATTATGTAAGTAGATCTAAATTGTAAGAAAATATGAAAAACCAAATAAACCGCAGAGCAATATGAAAAATATTGTCTTTAGAAATAATAATAATAACTTGCAATTCCTGATTAGATTGATAGCAACGTTTTACAGATGTCCCAAACTAACAATGCTGTGGCTTAGACTAAAATACGAATTAACTAAAATGATAATAAAGGTTGTAATACCTAACCTGTCAAGTATACGTTTTATCTATTAGTTGCTCTAAGCCGTTTAATCTCCTGCGTGTGGTACATCCAGAATATATCGTCAAATATTATATTATACATAATTGCATATTATAAGTATACATATATTATAGACGCAAAATTGAATTTCCGTTTATGTACCGGCTAATCTCACGTACACTACACCTAGTCCTGTTTGTTTTCTTATCTCATTTAAACGTCACATTATAGACTGATATACTTTATACTGAGTGTATAATTTCGCCCAAATCGAGAGCGAACGAATTAATATTCAAAATGGAAAGTATATACAATAGTTACATCCCTGTGGGTGACATTTTGTATGCTCACATACATATAATTAATAGCACATTGATTCATATAAACAGTAATTATGATATGATATGCCTTGAATAACGCTGAAACAATGCTATTCTAGGCTATAATAAGCGTGATGATTACTAACCAGATTGCATACAATACGAGCGAGCGTAGTTAAGAAGTATTTATTGAACATGTAGTGGAATATTTTCTAAAATTTCGTACTTAATAGAGTGGTAGAGTAAGATAAGTAAGAAAGGTATAGTCATGGATATCTATTTTTAATTAATAAAAGATAACACTATAAGCATGTTGTTAAGTAGATGAAACCAAAATATTGATGAAGGTATAAATGAATGATTCAATTATTTAATATTTCTCTCTCGGCAGGCAACAATCCGACTTTAACCATAAAAATACTAACTAAAGCTCTTAAGAGTGTAAAAGATCTTTTCTTTTCTATTCTATTCCATTAGTAGTAATGTAGAGGCGTGTTTAATAATGATTCTATTTTTTTTATACTGCTATGGTGGCAAACAATTAGCAATTAATTTATTAGCAAATTAATGATAGTCAATTACACGTTACGCAATATCTGTTAGTGTAATCTCTTTTTTCCAATGTATTTTTAACGTACATCACAGAATTATGTTTCTCACTTGTGAACTAAGTATTTTTTTATCGTAGGCCATACTACTTTAAACTCATCACTACTTTGGGTTACTTTCTGTTTTTTTTTATAAGAGGGTCTATAATATTTTATTTAATAATACTATCAGAACGTATAATTTTAAAAATTACATATTTTGTCTTACAGATATCGAGTGTAGAAGTGACAGAAGTATGCATCAGGCGTATAAAAGATGTGAACTCAGCACTCAATTTCTTTGTAGAAGATCGTTTCGAACTTGCTCTAAAAGAAGCTCGCGAGGCGGACGAACTCATTCGTAGCGGCACGTTATCCATACAACAGTTAGAAAAAGAGAAACCTCTCTTAGGTGTTCCCTTCACTACAAAAGATTGCTTTGCTGTTAAAGGTACGTTTAAAAGGTTGACTATATCGACTGGTTTTAAACATTTACTTTTGATTTACTATTATGTACAAAATTTTGTCGCCAGTGCAGGAATTTTAAATATATATTCCATGTTGCACTGAGAAATTGAAATAATTTAAGAGTCAATATGAGCAAATGGACTTATCCCATCTCTTTCATTCAATCCAAAATAGTGGCATAGGTGGTAATGAGTGGGTATTAGGTGGGTAGTGGTTAATATTTAGTACAAAAACAATATACAAAGTCAATAACTACTAAATAAAAATTTGTACTATATAAAATATGCAAAAATCTAAGTAAGTAATATATTATACATAAATATATATATACTAATAAATAATGATGACATTCAATGGCAGATAGGTATATTATTTTAATCGCTTCTTGAAGGAACCAACAAACTTTGCTGAAAGATGATTAAAGTAGTTAAGTTACCGCTTTCCATAATATGGGTTTGTCAACTAGACAACATGTTTTGAAATGGAATGCATTCCATACTCAAAGACATATTTTTATGGTAAAATATTTATGTAATAATTTACATAAATTATTTTCTTGCCTTAATGCATAATAGGTTTTTCAATTTTGTATTTTGTATGTTCTACGACTAATTTGATTTGAAGTTGTTTATGTATTATTACAATACATTTTTAAATTTCGATCAATAATAATTCATTTGAAGAGATTTAGGTATATACTATTTCTGTAAGTAGGTATAATCATTCAATCAATTAAGGGGGGTAAGTAGGTAGGTATTCCCAATTATAATTCATATTAAATCTATTGAAACAAAATAAGAAAGATAGTGAATATTTGTGGAATTCTACTTTATTTAAAGATATGAGCGATAACTTCACTAAGACTGATAATAATTATTATGTATGTGTAAACTGTAGAAGTCAATAGAAAAAACAGTAAAAAGTCCATACAGTATAGACTTTTTACTTTTTTTTGAGCACGTTCAAAATGTTCGGATTAATTTCCGGATTATTCTTTGGCCTCCTTTGTCCTGTAATGAAATGAATCTGAAGGATCCTAATGAAATGATACCCTCAACTGGGTCGGCAGTATTCAAAAGCAAACTAGGGATTAGTGACAAATTAAAGAATGAGGATGAAATCAGGTCACCTGTTACTAAATCATTGGGCTATAAGAAATATTCTTATCTATTTCAGGTTTACGCTTTACGTCTGGAATTGTATTGCGTAAGGACTTCATTTCAGATGAAGATGCTGGTGCCATCCGGCAATTGCGAGACAAAGGCGCTATAATTATAGGCATCACGAACGTGCCAGAACTTTGCATGTGGTAACATAGCTGTTATAATTGTGCTATTGTATATTTATTTACGTTGTTATGTGAATGACTTGCCCATTTCGAGACAGGTATACTTCTATTTTCTATGATACAGAATATTCAGCGTCACCTTTATGATATCATAAAAATAGCTGCTATTTTATTATATCATAATTGAATATTTAAGTTATTTCTACTATAGTTTGACGACCTCGGTGGGTGGTCTAGCGGGTTAGCACACCGCTTTACTTCCGATGGTTCGCGCACGGTACAAACATTTGTATACGTGAACGATTGTTTATATCGGTCTGGGTGCTTTCGATATTATATGTACTTAGGAAAAAATATGTCAAGTATTTATATCAATTCTCTAGTAGCACAATTAATGCAAGTAGTGTGTAATGCACAAGAACTCTGCTTACCTTGGGACTAGGTTACGTTGTGTGACATTTCAGACAATGTCAACGCCCAGGGATATTATTATTATATTATTTCTATAAATATATTTTGTCCTTTGTACGAACTACAATGAAATGAAATTGTATGAAGTACAAATAGTACCTAGTAATCATAAGAAAAAAACATTTCTTTTCACTGTTCTTATACCAAACTGATCTAAGGATCGAACCGATAGGTTACTTATTGGTACAAATACTTGTCCTAAATAATAACTTTGTTGAAATTGAACAATACAATTATATCATTTGGGGTGTACTACGCAGCAAGTACTACCACACTAATAGTCCCCAAGCCAGGGCCTAATTTCGTCAATCATTTCCTCTCAGCCGAAAACTTCAAAATGGTTAAGATAGCTGTATTCTAAAGCCTAGTGAAAATCAGTTGCCGTTGCAACCTTTTTTATAATAATAGACCTTACGTACGACTACTACTTTAAAGTTCATATCAGTTGTTATTTAGTACATTTAAAAACTAGACAAAAAAATATTTGGGTTCAAGTAAACATTGTTGTTTACTTGAACCCCAAATATTATTTTTTTTGGCCAAGACTCTCTCAATTTTATATACTAATGTGGTAAATTTTAAATGCTCCCATTTATCGTTACTGAATTAAGTTTAAACTAGTCTGAATTACTTGAGTCATTTACAATTACATTACATTAATGTAAAAGTTGTTTATGTCGTCGAAAATGAAGTATACGACATAAAGTATCACTGTTTCAATAGGTGGGAGACTCACAATCACATATATGGAAGGACCAACAATCCATATAATACCACAAGGATAGTTGGAGGGTCATCTGGAGGTGAAGGCTGCATACAAGCTGTAGGAGGCAGTATTTTTGGAGTCGGTATGTAATGTGTAATTTTTGGTCATGACAACTTATCCTATATTTAATTTTTTTGTCATGATTATCATAAATTTAAAATTATCTTTCTCTTTTGTGTCGCATTAATTACAAATTAATTAATAATAACAATAACTCAAATATTATATAATATTATTAATGATAACTTAATCATTATAAATTATTGATAGATTTCAATATTTAATTATTCTGTTAATCCAGTTTGTTATTAGGCTTGCGATATATTCGCATTTTACTACATATTTAAGGTATTAGAGCAGACATTATTCACTGAGTTTACTTCGAATATACGATCCCTTCCCGGGGTTTGCTCAACCCTGTGAGTGTCTATTTTCTTATACAGCCAAATAAAGCTTGCTTTGTAAGTTGTGTTTTGGTTATAGGATACAAATTCGACAGTGAAATTACATGCCTCTTGCACGACATCTTAGTCCTCTAGAATAGTAATGTTTGAATGCTATCGCGGATGTAACATGTTTATGTATGCGACAGTTACTGTTTACTATCAGATGGGCCGTCAGCTTGTTTGCCATTCCAATTATAAAAAAGCCATTTTGATTTTTAATGAAATTAAATTTCAGGTTCTGACATTGGAGGTTCAATTCGAATGCCTGCATTCTTTAACGGAATTTTTGGCCACAAACCATCCCGTGGTATAGTTTCAAATACTGGACAATTTCCCACACCGGAGTCAGCACTTATTGATTCTTTTCTAGGTAAATTTGTCTTTTAAGGACTTTTTTATATAGTTTATTACCCAATTCTTGAAATTCTTTTATAAATTATGATTTCTATTGTTTTAGGTGTAGGTCCTATGACAAGACACGCTACAGATTTGAAACCACTCTTAGATATTATGGCAGGAGATAATAAAAACAAACTAAAATTAAACGAACCCGTTAATATCAATAAAATAAAAGTGTACTACCAATTTAGTAGTGGGGCTCCTTTGGTTGATGCTGTTGATCCAGACATAATAATAGCAATGAAAAAAGTCGTTGAATTCCTAAGTGTACAACACAAATTAGATGCTGAAGAAAAGAAAATTGATCTGCTCCGCAAATCTTTACCTATATGGATGGCTACAATGAAAACTAAACAAAAGTTTGAGACCCTTATAATGAAGAATGAAGGTGTAGGTGCCATACTAAAAGAAATCGGGAAAAATTTTATCGGGTGTTCTGGCAATACCTTGATATGTTTATTTACCGCTTTGAGCGATCATTCTGGTATAGAAGTTGGAAGCGAGAGACATCTCCACTATATAAAACTACGTGAAAATTTAGAGAAAATCTTCACAGATATGTTGGGTGATGATGGCGTTTTCTTATACCCTGTACATCCTACACCTGCACCATTCCATAACGAGCCGTTACTAAAACCTTTCAATTTTGGATACACTGCTATTATTAACTGTCTAGGATTACCGGCAACTGCCATACCTTTAGGTTTAAGTCGAGATGGATTACCAATTGGTATTCAAGTAGTAGCTAATCATAATAATGACAGGTTATGTCTTGCAATCGCTGAAGAGCTTGACAAAGCATTTGGAGGATGGGTAGAACCACAAAAATCTTAGATGTCTTAGGACAGAAAATACGAGTCTGAATGGGTGTTTACTTATAATATAATTACATTTAATCACAAATTATTATTTAAGCAATTATTTTTATAGGCTGCACCATTTACTTATGGAATAAACATAATATTCTTTTTAATAGTTGTTTGACTAAAACTTAAGTAATTGAATTATAATATATTAATAGACTGTAAAACAGTAGGTAGTATATTGTAGTAGGACATATATAGTTGGTGTTTAATTGTTTCATGCATCTTTATTTTTTGTTGAAAATCTTGGACACATTTTAATAAAATGTGTCTGTGTGTGCATTTATTCCTCACACTACACATAAATTGATGTAGAGTTAAGATTGTTGGTTTCAAACCACATACCACTATTTGAAACATATTCACATATAGTTTGAAAAATAACTGTCAAAAAAAATAAATTAAGTAAAGTGGATTTATGTAATTAATAAAAATATATTATATAATTACATAATATATATTTTAAAGTGAGAAAATATATTGACTAGAGTAAATATGTAATGGTATGTACATATGTTAGATACCCTTAACATACAAATAAAAAGAACATAATTTCTATAAACCATAAAAATATCTACAAATTATGATACTGTAATCTGAAATGTTTGTTTGTGACAAACACCTTTTACTACATGACCTAATTTAAAAGCTTGTTCTGTAACATGACTTCAGCCTGACCATGATCCAAGTCCGCACAGTAAAACTTTCTGATCAATAATCAAGTATGTATGTGAAGCTATCTTTTTATTCTGTATATAGATATAGGTGAACATAAAGCAATCATTAAATTTGCAAGGGTCTTATAGTAAATAGTGCAAATGTATTAACAAGTGTTTAGTATCTATACATTGTTGTAAAAGGATTAATTAAATTAGTAGTATAACAAACAAATGTAAATCATTATGCTATAGTATGATTCTGATTTCATTTAGTATTTGCAAGTGATTTTATCACAGACAGTATATGTCTTCTTTTTACAATAGGACTAACTTTGACTAGCACTTCACATGAGCGTATTTGTCCATGTTTATGAGCATACTCAGCAAGACTCTCTGTGTTGCTGATTACATGAACTCCACAATCATACCCATTACTTTGTTGAACACATTCTTTGTCAACAAAGTTGATGGATCCTGAAACCCAAATTAAACAAAATTTTTATTTAAAAACTTACAGAAACAACACAAAAAACATTAAATACAGACATAAACAAATTATTACTTATTATATTATAGTAATTAATATATATATATACAAAAAATAATGAATTAAATTCATAATAAACTATGTAGAAGTAGAATAAATAGTAGTAACAATGGCAATTTAATAAAGACTGCTCTCACTGCCTATCTAAGCAAAGGGCTTAGGAAGAATCTACACTTTCTTTTTTAATTGGTTGCTTGAATGAAGAATCTACAAACTACACTATTTTTTCTTTTATAAGCTACTATTTAACAAATGCCAAACTAATTGAATCAATTTTGTAATTGCATTTATGACTAGTGGTCCATCTAATCCACAAGTTCTTTTAATCTCGTAATTTTATTTGTTTACAAAGTTGTTTGGGTGTATCAAGAGTTGGAAGTATAAAAATATATATATACAACTTTTTAAAAGAGTATTTAGGACACTGTTGGCATTTGTAGATATATCTGAAGAAAAGTAATTTACTAATCACATTACAGTAAGACTTTTAGACTCAAAGAAGAATAGTCTTTATTATCTATTAAGATAAAGTAAAAGGTAATTATGTTGCAATTTTATAACTAAAACATAATTTGGGATGATTTATAGACTTCAGTAGAGAGAGAGAATATTGAAAATATGTTCAAATCATTCAACAAATGTTTGAATAAAAATAAACTTACCATTTGATAAATATGTAATTAAGTGACTAGCAAACTCCCAAGCCACATTATGGTTGCTCCCTGACGAAGAGTCAAGGTGGAAGAAACAACATTCTGGCCTAGAATATACTAGCAGACTCCAATGTGATCCACCTGCTCTGTCAGGTGAGTTATTATCATTGAGTGCAAAAAATACAAACTTCTTTTCATTTATATGAAGTGGATCTAAAAATATTTTTATGTCCTCTGTTTGTACCATTTTAATACATTGTGTAACTTCTGGTGATACAAACAAAAATTCACTTGCAGTACTAAATAACGCTCGTTCGAGATATTCAAAATAAAATGATATAATAGTATCGTTTAGCCAATATGGCCCATCAAGAAGGTCAATATCCGATTGATGAAGGAGTATTTCATGAAAACTTAACACGACTGTTGCCTTTGCCATTATAACAAAACGTCTTGGTTCTTTTATATATTGCGTCCTTAGGATCTGATAAGAATAATAAAAAAAAATGTAGCAATCAAGTAAAAAATGAATCAAATGTTTACATTTTATGCCTTTTTATATAGTAGGGAAACAATGTTTAAAATTAAACTTACCTGTTAGTCTCAATCCATAATATCAGTGCTTTTTCACAAAGTAACAAATTGTCCACTTGTATTTGAACAGAATAATATATTTATTACATCGATATTCCAACAAAATTATAGACACAATAATTGTGATATTTTGTAAACTAAGTATTAAAACTGAAATAACGAATGGCTATAATTTATAGCACAATAAGGTTAAGAAGTACTAGAAATAGTATTAGCCGTCTAAATCAAATCAACTATTACATCACAGAATCACAGTCATTGAGATCAAAAACTAAATTTTTATTTTTATAAAAAAATGGATTAATTCGATTAATATTTTGATATTTGAGATGCAGTTGTTACAGTGCCAGTAAGTAAAAGTAACACAGTCACATACAGTTTACACTTCATTCAGAAACATTTCTAGTACTCTGTGACTCTATGAGTCACATAAATGTGGTTACATATAGGTATTAATCGATAAAAACTGGTTTTTATAAAATATTTGACATCGAATGTATGCATAACTATTGGCACTATATTAGGCATAGTATCCTTCATACCATTATATAGTTTCTCTCGGTAAAACAGTTAAAAATATTAAATAGTGTTATTTAATATTTTTAACTGTTTTACCGAGTTTAAATGTACCGGTTTACCGAGTTAAAATAAGTCAATGTTGAGACTCAGGTAAAGAATCTGTGGGTACCCAGATTCTTTGCAAATGATTGGGAAAAGATAGAAGTCCTTACCTTATTTATTTGCGGTCGAGATAATATGTATATAATCCTCCATTCATTTCGTTCATCGTTCGTAGTCAACTCATTATACTTACTCCCTTTCTAGCCATATCATCTTTCACACAGTCCCCCCATTTAGAGTATTTCTCTGCTCCTACTAGTAGAATGATTCTTACAATCATTCTCAAAGAACATACATCACAAACATAGTGATTACTTGCTCAGTGGTACTTTTGAGAAACGGTGTCAACTCTAAATTTCTTTTTTAGATAGATGATAGTGGTATGGTAAATGGTACACGTCTCTATCATAGAACACTACTTAATATCCTAGTAGCGAACGCTACTGGAACATAGAGGACCATTGGAAAATGATGGTGTGCAAACGAATACCTATTGTGACAAATTTAATTAGTCATGATGGTTTCCACCAGCAGGACTGTGAGCTGGCGACCTAATATCGTACACTGCTGGCACTGGGGTCCTAACCCCTATTATTAACGATTCCGTTCTCCACAATTTACATCAGTAATAGTACCTACTAATTAATAATAACAATAATTTCTTTAGCACAGCTTCATTATACATTATATTATCTGTGATTATACTAAGTAAAAATATAGAAAGCCAAAAAGCTAATATATCGCTATGAGCTCAAAGGGCTTTCACTCTGTTGGTGCAACAGCCTGTCACTGCAGCGCAGATTGTCAGTGGAGCCACTTGAAAAAAAGAAATTCTTGAAATCATTATTGATATTTATTACCTTAAATGTAATTCTTGTGTGTAAAGTTTCATGGGCAAGAGTTTATGTGATGATGGGTTTAAGTTCTTGCTAGACATTTATAAAAAAATTAACAAATACGAATAAACTGACAATAGTCGGTAAGCATTTGTTAAGACTGATGTCACCACAGCACAGAGCCGTCTTTCACTCTGACTCTTTAGAGATGTATATGGGGATGCCCTACTTTCAAAACAAAACAGGCAAAAATAATTTTAAAAAGTCATTATGTGATGATGGGATTAAGTTTTTGCTAGACATTTATAAAAAATTAACAAAAACGAATAAACTGACAATAGTCGGTAAGCATTTGTTAAGACTGATGTCAGGCGGGAGTGGAGTAGCTATCGGTTTGTTTTTTTTTGGGTTGATAATGGAATGGTGCACCCGCCTGCGCTAACGGTTTACGCTAGCGGGGCACCAGTGGAGGATGATAAGATGAGCATGGGGTCAGGTCAGTTAGCCAATCGTGCAAATTCGTCTGGAATTTAACACGATGGTTTCCAGGGCGAACCGCGTGGAGGTCGACCTGACATGGTACATTGCTAGCAATGAGGTTATCAATCCACATTACTAACAACCCCCTTCCCCTCAAAGTAGTTATCGGTTATTGTTTTTTATTCGGACTAGACTAGACTAGGGAGCCCCAATCCGTTGCGGGGCTCTGGTTCGTGCTCGGTGGGGAAAAGGGCATGCCACCACATTCACCTGTGCTAACAATATATGTTGGGCGAGCATGGGATTGTTAGTAATGTGGATTAATAACCCTATTGCTGGTAATGTACTGTCAGATTGACCTCCACGCGGTTCCCTCTGGAAACCGTCCTGATAAATTACTAGTAATTTTGCAACGATGGGCTAACGGACCTGACCTCATGCTCATCTTATAATCCTCTACTGGTGCTCTGCCAGCGTATACCGTTAGCGCAAGCAGGTGCACCATTCTATTACATACAGATAAAAGTAAAAAACGGTATAAGATGATGATGCACTTGAGGATAAATTCACCAGGATTTAACCACGATAGTTTCCAAGGGGATCGCATAGTCAGCCATCAGTACTAAGAAATTGTAACATAGATAGGTGGTGATCAGGATCTAGATCCTGATCACCACCTATCTACTATGTATACGCCATACTAGTATGGCGTATGATAAAGTTTTGAAGTGCTCAATTATGCAGCGCTATGACTATTCTCATTTCAAACAGATTATATTACAATTTTGATAAAATGTTCAGATCATGTGTGCCTACAACTTTCAAATGGTACATCTAAAATCGCGATACAATTTATATATTTAAGACGGCCCTAGAACTACTTTGTTTTTATATTATAATTTAAATTAATGTTAAAATAATATATATAAACATTATAAATAAATATGAGGTTTATTCATTCATACGCAATGTAAATTTACTTTTAATTAATGACAGCTTAATATCCTTGTCTAGTTCGATCACAAAAATAAAAATGTTTTATTCAGGATTGAAATAGGAGTACAAAATAAAAAACTTAAGATTTCTTTTATTAAAATTATCATAATTTAAATAGTTTAACTATTTCCTTGGTAACTGTATGTTTCCTTGAAGGAAACTGAAATTTAATTCATACAAGTATTTAAAAAAAACTAAGTATGACATCTATTAATAATTTAATAACATTATAACCATTCACAACATTGTTAAGCTATGAGTAATCGATTCTCCACACAATGTCTTGTATTCAATGAACATAGTCTAATTAAACTTGACATGGTAATATTATTTACTAAATGTGTAATGCAATTTTAACATTGCAAAATACATTTTTGATGATACTGATTGGGCTAAAAATAGAAAGTAGTTTCCAGAAATATAATGGAAAATACCTCCTACCTTATTTTTATCTAAATTGAACTTTATTTACTTGGTGGCCTGTTTTAAGTAAGCAATAAGGTCTGCACGTTCATTGGCTTTCTTTAAGCCCGCGAACACCATTTTGGTACCGGGGATGTACTTCTTGGGGTTCTCAAGGTATTCGAACAGGGTGTCGTCATTCCAGGTGATACCTATAATCAATAGGAATAGTATTAGCAGTATCAGAATAATAAAACTCTTTATGGTGCAGAAGAAATATAACAAGAAAAATAATATGCAGAAAAGTAAAAACAAAAGGTGGTCTTATCATATATACACAATCTCTTACAGAGAAACTAAATTACGTAATAATATTTTTAAAATTGAAAATAAATAACTATTATTCATTTATAAATTATGTATTAGAAAGTGAATACTACATCGCGCAAATTTAAAACATGGATTTGTAGGTATATATGAGCGAAAATGCGTCACAAATTCCCGGATGTACAATTCAACCAACCACCAATATAGTATATCTCTTGTTCCTCAAACCTCTACATGCACTAATTATGGCTTATCAACTATAAGTACCTAGATATAATTTGATAACCCACAAAATTTTATCAATGATTGATGTATGATAATGTATGTCTGTTGTCCCGTCATAGTCGGAAAGTGACAAATTGTGTAGTAAAGCTATGAGTACCTATTATTTTTAAATATACTTTATGGGAGATATATTCAATGGTTTGTAGAGAAAGAGTCCATTTCTACCATGGCAAAATTTGTATGTGTACAAGTTATAAGTCAAATTTATACATAGATTACCAAATTCTCAAAGCCACAAAAAATTCATAATCTATAGTACCTTAATTCCTGTTTGAAAGCACTTATAACTCTGACAGAATCTTATTAGTGAATGGTAATTAATAAATAAATTGATAATACATACAATGTAGATTATTGTTCTGTTGGACTTTGATCAATAAATAGGAAGTTGTGTAAACTTTATCATAAAATTAGTATCATAATTCAGTATAAGTAAATAATTTACCTTTAGCCTTGTTGGCATCTGAATATGAGAATCCAGCTGCCTGACCAGTCTTACGACCAAAGAAACCATTAAGGTTGGGGCCTACTTTGTGTTTGCCACCAGATTCAACCTGTAATAATAAAAATTGTTATTAATGCTTTTCTAAAGGACCATCTTTGATTTTTGTTTCACTAAAAATACAATATGGAATTTACTAATTCAATTACAATGTATGACATAATATTACAATGATGTAATAAATACTGAGGTAATATAGTGTGCAATGAATTGAAGAGATCACATGAACTTTTTCAAATATTTAAATCATAAAACATCACATAATCAATCATAAAATGAATAATCTAATTGATACATAATCACTGGATTGTTTTAATTGAGATTTTAAATTTTATATTAAAATGTTTCATATTTTGTTATACCTCATTTGCTAACCTTTAAATCTATTTTCCTTTTTATTGATTTATTATAGCTGTCATTATAGGTGAAATGATCAAAGTATTAAAATTGCAAAAAACAAAACATTATAAAATGTTCATTGAACCAATGACATAATTTTATGTTATACTTCAAAATGTAATAAATTGCCAGTATAACATTATATTGTTATAATAATGTTAGGCATATTATGTAGTTTCATAATTGTTAAAATTATGAAACTACATAATATGCCTAACATTATTTAAGATATTGTTACTTGCAGATTTTATTATTTTTTAATTAAATCAAAAGATAATCGTTTATAAATTAATTAAATCCAAATAAAATTCTATTTTCTTAGTTTTTACGGGCAACAGTATCAATTCCTAATGTTACAGGAAAGATTAAAATGCTGTAAAATGTCACTGTAAACATTGATTTATAGGAGATTAACAACAAATTAGAAATATTTCCATGTACTTACCTAAGTATAAGAAATATAACCATAATCTTATTCCTTACATAATTTAATATATAAGTATATGATATATACATACATCCTATTTAAAAATATTTTTATCTGTGTAATTAATGAGAATCTTGAGGATGATAATATCTCTAATAAGTATCTAGATTTAGTATTCAAAATGAATACTTACGGTGTGGCACTGTGCACACCTCTGGACGAAGATTTTCTTTCCATTTTCAGCGTTTCCAGCTGGCACACCCATGTTGTTCTGGAAAATAATATTATTTTTATTGTAACTGTAATAAAAAAATAAAATAACATTAAAACTTTTATATTCTCTGGGCTATGAAAAATGACTTATGACAACTACATTAAAATTAGATAACATTGATTAAAAGTAATTACATAATTTTAAATACAATTTCTGGATTTTAATTAAATTATTGCCGCCATATGTTCAAATTGAAAATGGTATTACCGATTATACAATGCAGCAACAGTGAAGTGTCAAGATCAATGTCACAGAAGTACTCTATTCTATAAAAAGTTGATGGACATCTTACATGGTATTTAACGCCTTTCTATGTCAGACATACCGTGTTATCTAATAGAAATGAACTTGGAACTGTTGATTACACAATGGAATTTGTTCCAAGATCTCACTGACACATCAGGATCAATGTCATTGGAATTCCGAGACACAAGGTAACGAGTTGAGATCATTACGTAAGTGATATAGAATATTGGAAATTATTAAGAAATTTCAAAATATTATTATAGAAAAGTGTTTCAGTTCAAAAGAACTCTTTCATGATCTACTATAAGTTTACAATATTACAGAAAAAAATGATTATTACGTTTTTAGAGGTTACATGTACTCCTATGAAATCATTAGATTAAATTAGAACAGCTTTTATATTACAAGAAAATTTATTATTATGTTAAGATATTCATAGTTCAAATTAAATATATACTCACTTTTTGAGTTCGAAGAAATTAAAATTTTAAGGACCAATATATGGAGCGATTCGATTTTTGCCCAGCCAACTAATGACACTATGTAGTGTAGTGAAGAGCGAAGCGCTTTAATCACACGACTGAAAACGAGGGCAGCACGAGGTCAGACGAATGAATTATTGATACATATTTTTTTTGTTTTTCACAATATTTTAATTTATTTATTGATATATATCTTATTAATAAGTAATCATTATTGAAATCCCGTAAAATATACTAAAAATATATTTAATTGTATCGTTTAGGTGTTACCAATATATAAAATTACTGGTAGATACTAGTACACTAATAACTGTCTAGATGGCTCTAGTGGTATTTTAAAATCTTCATTGGACTAATTATTTTAATACATAAATATTATAATAGACTGCTACTGATGCAAATATGATGGATAGGTAGACTCCTCTGGTATATTTACTTTACTCTATGCGTGGACTTGAAAAAGTTAAATGCATGGATATTTCGCCTCACCTGTTTCCACTATCGATCAGATTACTTTGAAAGTTTGTGGTTTTGGTTGAAAAGTCAGATTGGTATATATAAATGACAGTGAAATTACAGAATATAGAGGCGTAACATTAGTCCTCCGGAAAGGTAATGATCATGATCACGGGTGTCACATGATGACATAATAACCGTGGTTCTGTTCATATAGCTGACGGTTACCACTTATGGGCCATCATCTTGTTTGGCATATAAATTACATAAAAAATGTTATTGCCCGTTTATATTAAACCAGCTGTTACCTACGACTTCGATTGTACAACATTTAATTAAATTTCACCTCCTTATTTTTTTAGATTAATGATAGGCTATTTCCGTCGTCCTCGTTGTATTGGTGATACAATCTATCTTCATATCAAGTTTCATTAAGATTTGTTTAATCGTCTAATTGTTAAAAATAACAATCTGAATAAGAGAACTGAAACAGATAAGAACTGTTTTGTTTTATTATCGGCTAGTTTATTACCTATACCTACATTCTTAATTAGTATTATCAGTCTGAGAAAAAATATTTCCCATATCTTTAAATGAAATATATCAAATATGGACAGAGACACATATATAATATTAGCACAGATAACATAATATATTAGTATGAATGCTTAAATATTTAAATTATAGGTACATACCTAAACAATCATATAGGTACCTATATGTGTATATGAATGTACTTACGTCCTCTGTTTTCAGTATAACGTATAGCTTGAACTAAGTGATTTTTAATTGCGATGTGAGAATGGTCTCTTTCTCGTCCCTAACGGTATAGCCTGGAGTGGTACGACTATCTTCGAATGGATGACGTTGAATTCAGGTCACTTATTCCATGGAATTCAACCTGAATCAATCAGAATATTTTCCAAGACCGGCGCTTGGCGACCATGTAAAAAAAAGGAAATTCAGTTGAGTTCTTTTCAGTTCTTCTCAATTGAATCTGTATACTGAACTGGACAGCAAGGCAAAAATATGAATACCAAAAATTTGATGTTCGTAATGTCCTACAGCAATAAATTATTTTTGAATTGATTAACCTGACAGGATAAATTGCAAATAGCATAAGGCGTCACTTGTCCCATCCATTTCCCATTTTCATTAATCCCCACTGTCAAAACATCAGGTATGTATGTAAAATACAACTAATGTATCACAGAGATAGGTCCTTAATTGTATCCCAAATTAAGTTTGATACCATGCAATATATACTCGCAGATCATGATGAGGGTTTAATCCATAGTCTGACTATCATTGTCTGTCTCTATGTAGTTTAAATCTTTAAAATTACGCAACGGACTTCGAAGCGGTTTTTTTTAATAGATAGAATGATTCTGGAGTTGAAGGTTTTGTTATAAACTCTTTGGTATTAATAAAATATATGATGTGTTTTTTTGACGTAGATTGTCATCTATGAATATATAGGTATGTACAATAAACTGTTATTTTATTGCTACTAACTATAAATCCTTATTTTAATTTATAAAATGTTGGCGACGAGGACATAAAACGGATAAAGGATAATTTGAATAGTTCCTGCAATTACAGCGCACACAACATGATCAATGAACTGAAGTAATAAAACTTCTAACTACAACAACTACGCAACAAGCACATTGCCCCACGGAGACGCCTGTGGTGGCCTCGAACAGCCAGGATACGCCCTGCACACCTGTTTCTAGCACATCAGGTACTCACAAATTATCAATATTGAATAATTTCAAATGTGAAAAATTTAACCCGTCAACGACTACGGTTGAAAATTTCCTTGATTACTTTGAAATAAAATTCGAAATATTAGACGACAACATAAACAACGGGGTTAAAAATAAATTCTCTATGAAAGAAATATCGAATCTGAACGGAAACGACTGGTAGACACTGGAATAGTAACTGAAGTCGATCCTAATATAACACCCGTCGAATGGACAACACCCACAGTTAATGTTGTAAAGACAAATGGACAAGTTCGAATATGTGGTGATTATAGAAGCACTATTAATTTTCTTATAACACGTGCACATCCAATACCACTGTTTGATCAATTACGACAAAAATTAGCAGATGGTGAGAAATTTACCAAAATAGATTTAAAAGACAGTTTACAGTTTCCAATTGCACCTGACTCAAAAAAATACCTTACCATTACAACTCATAAAGGATATTTCCAATATAATAGAATGCCGTTTGGAATCTCGACGGCTCCATCTATTTTTCAACATTTCCTTGACAAACTACTTGATAATATTCCAAATGTTGCAGTATATTTTGATGATATCGCCTTAACCGGTAAAAATTATTTGGATCACCTTAGAACACTATCAGTAGTACTTGGAAAGCTGGAACAAGCTGGTCTTAAAGTAAATTTAAAAAATGTACTTTCTTTCAAAAAGAAATTGAATACCTTGGACACACTATAGACAAATGTGGTATACGTCCTACGAAATCAAAATTAGAAACTATTTTGAAAACACCGCCTCCGTATAACCCACAAGAACTTAGATCTTTCTTAGGATTAGTTAATTTTTACGAACGTTTCATACCACATTTACATAGCATATGCGCAGATCTACATACCCTAACTGGAAATCACCGCAAATGGCAGTAGACAGAAAAAGAACTCTACTACTTGCTTACTAAACCTCTTGCTGCTTTTAATGAAAATTTGCCACTGTTTTTAGCTTGTGATGCAGTTGAGAAAGGTGTTGGTGCTGTTTTGTATCTTAAAACCAACGATACTGTATAACCAATTGCTTTTGCATCACGAAAACTTAAACAGGCAGAAGTTAAGTATTCAGTTATTGATCGAGAGGTACTTGCGATCTTCTTTGGAATTAAAAAACCTTTAATACATTTACTAGGGACTCGGCGTAACTTACCTAAGTTATGCAACAACCGACTAGTCCGTTGGGCCCTTTTAATCGGTAGTTACAACTATAATATCACATATACAAAAGGCAAACTGAATGCCATGGCTGACTATCTCTCACAAATGCCTAATCCATATGAAAAACCATTGACTGCTGAAGAAATAGTTCGCAAAATAGTGACACGCCACCAATCAGACAAATTGCATGATTTACCTATGTATATCCGAAGAAACTCTCAGAGGCAAAGTAAAAAAAGATCCTATTTTCAAAAAAGTCAATGAATTCCTAAAGACTGGATGGCGTTTAGATAGTTTGTCGGAAGACCTACGGCCATATTCACGAAAACGTTGTGAATTATCATTAGAAGATAAAATCCCGATGTGGCAAGGTCGAATCGTAGTTCCACATTCTCTAAGAAGATCCATAATGAAATTCCTTCACAATGGATATCCGGGGATATCTGCCATGAAAGCACTGGGCCGCTTTTATGTGTGGTGGCCGTCAATCGATGATGACCTTGACATGTGGGTAAAGAGATATTCTAAGTGCTAAGAAAATCGCCCTAATGTGGCGGTGCTGCCTACCCCGGCAGCTCCGCCACATTAGGGCCTCGTGGTCTGTGCCTGATGAGCCATGGGAGAGAGTTCACGTGGATTTTGCGGGTTCTTTTGAGGGCAAATATTGGTTGGTGCTATGTGACGCACTTTAAAAATGTATCGAAATTAAACCAATGTCTACAATCACAACAAGCAGGCTCTGCAGTGAACTAGATACTATTTTTACTTCACTTGGACTTCCACAAATTATAGTTTCGGACAATGGTCCTCAATTCACATCTCAAGAATTTCATGAATACTGCAGATACAATGCTATCAGACACGTTAAGTCTTCACCTTACCATCCAAGAACGAACAGGTTGGCTGAACGGCTAGTTCGTACTTTCAAAACCAGAATGTCTGCTAGTATAAGTGACGGATTAAGTTTAAAAGAACGTTTGGAAAACTTTCTGTTTACTTACCGTATTACCCCTCGAACCGATGCTGGTAAATCACCAGCAGAAATACTTTTAGGACGACAACTACGTTGTCTCTTAGACAATATTAAACCAAATCCTAGAATGTCCCTCCGCTTCAAACAATTTCAAGCTAACATTGAACATGACAAGGAAATATATTTCAATCCAGGAGAAACTGTTTTTGTACGCTCTCGAGATAATAAATCATGGAAGCCTGCCACAGTAGTCCGTCGTACACATCGTTATTCGTATTTATGTAATTAATACACCTATTGGGGTGAAGAAATACCATGCGGATCAAATAAGAAAACGTGTAATTGAAAGAGAGGATGTACCGGTAGGTCAGTCCTGTAATGCCCATACCCAAGATGTCCAGAAAATGCAACACAATACACCAGTGACTCCTCAAAGAGACAGGGAAATATCATTAGAGACTGCTCCTTTGGAGTTTAGAAACCAATTCGAGACATTGGGTACTGCGTGTAATAATGAAACACCGAAACATTCAAGTGTATTAGCACACAATTCAAATGACGTGGGTAGACATATTCGAACACCAGCAGTTGAGGGGTTACGTCGTAGTAAGCGTGAAGTCAAGCCACCAAGACGTCTTATTACAGAACTGTCATAATTTGATGGACTCGCATGGTAACGAGAGTCTTTTTTAGAGATGGAGGAATGTTATAAACTCTTTAGTATTAATAAAATATATGATGTGTTTTTTTGACGTAGATTGTCATCTATGAATTCAATAAACTGTTACTACTAACTATAAATCCTTATTTTAATTTATAAATTTATTATAAGTATAAGTTTATATGTAGATATAATACATGTACACCTATGCGAAGCTGGGGCGAGTAGCTCGTAATTGTACAAAACTGTTCGTTAGGGATTCGATTGTGCAAACAAGATATCTTCATTTATATAAGTATCTGTTTTGTATATGTTGAAATAGTCTACTATTTCAACTTATACTCAGTTGTACTTTAAAGTAAATAATTACGATAATATATTAACTATAATTATATAGAATAATATATTACGAATGATTTAATATATTACGAATGTGGTAAAGCTGAAATACTTAGTTATAATTTGTAAATTGCGGCAAATTTCAAGCGTGAAACGATATGGTATTAAAACTATCACCCGCACCATGTTACAGCGCACATGGTATAAGCAACAGGTTTTGAAATGGTTTCATTATCATTTTGAAAATATCCTCTAAAATGTTTATATTTATACCTACTAGTATTAGCCATTATTATAATACACGACTGAAGATTATTTATTAATTAATAAAACCAAGTCAGCCGTGCGAATCCGAGATGGATCGCTAGTTTTATTAAATTTGTACCGTCTAAGGGACTTAAACAAACCAATCAACATCGTTTGACGATAAAATAATTATATTATATACAAGATTATCATTGACACATGACTATTTCGTGATAGTGTTATACAATACAATACGTGCTATAAAAGGAAATCTTGTAAAATTTGTCACTTATCGCCAGCAGCGCCATTTTATTTATGTAGGTATATTGAGCTTCCCTATTGAAGATACACTATTTTGTCGAAGACTAGCTGTTACACGTGACTTCATCCGCATGGAGTTTAACTTTTTTTATCAAAATAAATAAAAGTAGCCTAAGTTACTCTTTATAATATTAGCTACCTGTGAGTGAAAGTCCTATTAAAATCATTCCAGCCTTTACACAGATTACTAAAGGCAAACAGACAAATTTTTTTAAATTTAATTTTTTACTATGGTAAGGGTCCCACTCATAAATTACTTCATGCGAATTTCATAATCCCCCTCGTCCTTGTCACAGTTAGTCACACTTCTCCGTAACATTTTCCCATCCCTAGTGTGACATCACATATTGTAAATATTTATATTAACAAACAAATAACAATTTTAATTTTCATTTAATATATTAATAAATAAATTTCACATTTTAAAAGTGACGTCACGAAACTTATCTATAGCATTTCCTTCCCCTGGTCATACAATGTCACGTGGCCTCCCGATCCTTATACATATGTATCTTAATAATATTATAATCGCGAAAGTTTGAATGTTAGTTACTTTTTCACGCAAAAAGTACTGAACGGATTTTGACGAATAACACTTAGGCTATATTTTTTATTGAAATTTAATCAGATGAAACCGCGGGCACAGCTAGTAAATTATAAAATTATTTTCTATTGAAAAAATGGGCATTTCTCGAAGTTTACAGTCTAAGAATTTAATTACATATTTGCCATCCTAACTTCTAAAGATATCTAGCATGTTTCATTACTGTGTAATATTATATTATCTGTGTTACTAGTAAGGATTCCCTAAAACGCCTAATCAAAACTACAACTAACGATCAAATCCCTTATAATTTACGTACAACTGCTAAAACTCGGATCGTGTTACATAGTTTCGAAGTACTTAGTTTCTGAAAGCGAAACAGGGATATGGTTTCTGGAAATGGTGCCAATTTTGAAGTTTACGTTTACTTATTACATTTTATGTAAAGTATTCGGTATCTCTATATTAATTCAATATTACTAATATAGGCATTGTGTTGTATGGTCCTGAGATAGCGGACTGGAGACCTGTCCTATCTATCTTTATTTTTATATTATACTAGCTGTGCCGGCGGTTTCACCTGCATGAAATTAATAGCCTATGTTATTCTGATGTATAAGCTATATTACTGTAAAGTTTCATCAGAATCCGTTCAGTAGTTATTGCGTGAAATAGTAACAAACATTCAACCATCCTCACAAACTTTCGCATTTATAATATTGATTAATAATAATAAAGTGAAGATAATAGTCAGTATCAAATACAGCTACAAGGTGCTGGGACTTAATAGTGAAAATTAGCCAATAAAAGTTATCCTATATTTTATGTACTATTAAATTACACACATAAAATTAATAACTACTTTCGAAGTTTCCTTTTAAGCTAAAAATAAGTAAATACCCTGTTTACAATACATTTGTTAGGAACAGTCGATCGAGATCCAACTCATATCTACTTACTTTGAATTAGAATTTTGTCCTTCTGTTTAGAAAAAAAGAAGTTGGTACTAGTCACAGATAAGATAATATTATATAATAGAAACTAGTTAAGGAGGAACAGAAAACAGATTCCACTGTCACATTTAAGAAGCGTCTGGTAAGAAGTGGTTCCCCCAAGCTTCTTAAATAGGTATTTTGATTTCCCCAGGCAGTATTTCTTTCGCTTATATCTACTTATTTTATTGGAAGACACTTTCCTTTAAATTGTAATACGAATAAGTAGTTCATTTTGTTTGTTTTTTCTCTCATTTTATTATTCGATCGTTCTGAAATTGATTTAATTTTTTTTTCTATTATTATGACGTACATATGTTTACTGCCATGTTATATATCAAGAAGCGCAATTGTGTTATGTTGCCAGGTAATATAATACGTTATAGTTTATAAAATCGCAGTTATTACTGTGATTTTGTGACAATATATAAATCGTATTATATGTGTATAGCTAAGGAGTACCACAGATTTATCTACTATGAATTGAGGTCCTATACAGACGAAACCAATGGATTTTTTGACATTCGTAGGTAATTTATTAATAGCGCTAGTGAATACGATGTTTATAGGATTCCGAATTGAAGTAGATATACATTATTACAGATATTGACCTTATTTTAACATTATGATTACAGTATTCAAAATATACATACAATTCAGGTATATAAGTCATATTAATAAGTAACTCGAGAAATACGTTTTGCCTTCGTCATGAAATCTTGAAAAGATAATTTTCAGCAATTATGCTGCCTCATTCTATTTATATAATATGGGTAAAATATTTCTGAACAATATATTATTTTCTGTGTTTAGTTTTAGTAAAATATATATTCACATTAATTCATTTATGTCTGATGTAAAACATGGCGTGGTGGCGATGGTATACCTACCTATAATAATGAACAAATCAGCCTGGCAAACAAACAAATAAGTATGAGCTTCAACCTAGCTTCGAAAATGATTTTTTTAACTATTCAATAAAATAAGTTGCGATACACCTATAATAGTATTAAAGTAAATAATTTTCATTTAGCAAGCTACATACATAACCACTGATTAATTATAGGGTAAAAGTAATCTCGAAACCATCTGAGCATTAATGAAGGGATAGCTTTGTTTATACTTTCGATTCAAATCGGATTATGAAACTTTTTGTCATAACAAAAGTTCCAGGCTTATCACAAAAAGCCTTTATATATGTTTTCGATAAAGTTGTTTAGATGCCATAAAACCCATGATAATGGGTATTCCGTTGATTAAAATGACTAGCGATCTTCGATACAAAATATTATGAGATTTTCAATTTACCATGATCATCCATCAAAAGAAGCAGTCATTGGACCAAATTAATTATTGTTATTATAAAATCCATATTTAAATCTTTACATAGAATGAAGTCGCTTCCGCTGTCTATTCACTTTGATCTTTTAAACTAAGCAACAGATTTTAATCCAGTTTTTAGCAATGGATAGAGTCATTTAAGAGAAAGGTTTATAGGTATAATATTTGCACATATGTGCACATATAAGCCGAGGCGGGTAGGTAGTTAAGATATAAAAAGTACTTGCCTACTCATTATTGAGGATAAACACTTTTGCCCATCTGCGGCTAGAGGACATTCAACAAAAACACATTGCACTTTTATTTAGACTAGACACAGTTCAATCTGACACCCGGATCATTGCAAAATTGTATTGGGCTATAAAACCAGATGAAACATGCTTTCCTGTAATGGAATGTACCGAGCACCTGGACGCACGGTTATGGATGCATGAAATAGGGAATACCATTTTATACTAACTATGCTATATATGTACATGCTACCAATATGTTGTTTTAATAAAGTTGTGGGTGTTTACATTCTTACGTGTAATAATACGCTTTACCATCAGGTGGGTCCTCAGTTTATCCGTTATACCAGTTAGGTATATCAAAAGTATAATATATAATGTACTTTTGATATATATAATACCAGTTCTGTGTTGTCAAAGTCTTTAGATTACTAATAAAGTTTTATAACATTAATTAGTTTAGATTTTAAATAATGAGAACTCCCTAAGCAGTTGTTGTTCAAAGACTGTAGTTTTAAAATGGTTCATTTGTAAATTGTATCTATAGTATAAAGATAATAAAGTATTTATAACATTAATTAGTTTAGATTTTAAATAATGAGAACAAACCTTGGTCTACTTTAATACTCTTTGAAATTTTAACAAATTACGTACCTAATCTGTTTCTGTTTTAAATTATTTAATCTAATTCAGAAAAAAAAATCACTTAACTGACACTATCCAAAGTGATAATTTCCAAATTTTATTTCTTTTAACTACACTTCCCATAATCAATCTGTTTGCAACTAGTTTCCACTAATGACATAAAAAGATATATTTTTTTGTTTGGCATTTTTCTGTAAAAGAATATAATTAACATTTCATTCGGTTTTTTAAGTATTTAAATATTACGTTTAAATGATTGATGTACCTGTTCGCCAATAATTAATATATCAATCATGTTAATGTTTAATGTATTTAAATTACTGTCCCTAGTTTATTTGTATCAACCATTTGTTTATCCAATTATGTACGATATATGAATGCAAAAAAAGTATATAGATAGTAATGGATTTTAAATAAATACGTACTAACACACACACAACTCACCGTAGCGACCAAACAATTGCGAGCCGAGAAGCGCGCGAGTGATATTTTTAGATCCTCTGACCGAACAGGTGTTTTGATGTAGCCGATAAAAACCGAGAGACAAAATACATATAACAAATGCACAAAAATTATTAAAATAAGTAGATAGGTAGCAAATAATTACATATATATATACTGTACTAAAATTAGAGTATATACGATCTGTGTATAATTACTCAATACTAAATTATATAAAAACTGATTTAGGATGATACAAATCCTAATGACTGTAATTGATAACAGCAGAGAATTGAACTCTAATATACTATTTCTCTTATGAGTTCCGTTAAACCAGTAAACCCACTATTATTTATTTAAGCGTATAGAACATAATTCTAAGCATGAATATATTTTTTTCAGATAGTACTTATATTTATTACATACTAGCTGTTCCCGCGACTTCGTCCGCGTGGAAATTAACTTTATTTTTCTAAAATAACTAATACTCCTTATTACATCAGCTACCTGCCAAAAAATCGGTCCAGTCATTTCAGAGTTTAGCCGGAATAAACAGACCGACAGACAGACAGACAAAAATTATTAAAAATGTTATTTTGGTATATGGACCGTATATATTCATATGCATGTAGTAAAAAACTGTTATTTCAATATTACAAACAGACACTCCCATTTTATTTATATTGCTGCTAATTGTTATTGTTAAGATGTGGTCATTGAATTTAGAAAAAGCGTTTTGTTTTCTTTAAATATATATATATTACGTGGTCCTTATGTATGTTAGTCTATATATATATATATATATATATATATAATAATAATATTTATATACGTAAGAATTATCTAGAATAATGTATCTTTCTAATGGTAAAGTATTTTTAGTACCTAACAGTACACAAAGTTTAAAAAAATAGTAGTTAAAAAATTTGATAATGTAGTGTGTTCAAGCAGTGTTTATTGATTTCTAATATTTGTTAATCTTCATTTTATTAAACTGTTTAGTTGATTTAAAAGGTACATTAATATATAGCCTCATTTATTTATTAAGGATTTCTTTACGCTATAATTTCTAATTTGTTTGTCGTTTCCTCCATTAAATTAAATATACATGGCTATGGTCCGGATTAATAAAATTTATTGTTTTCCTTAATAGCTCTAATAATATAATGGGCTATAAATACTTATTGGGAGCTACCGTACTGTGTAAGTAACAACTTATTAAATATTTTGCAATAATCTTATTACTTCTACTGCATTAAGGTTGATGCCTACCTAACCATAAAAAAAGTATGTAATATTAACGTATTATGTTCTTTTTATGTCTGTTCAGAATATTTCTTACTAAATATATCTCTATCATTTGTAAGAATATAAAAAATATTTGGACTTAGTACTCCCTAAAATATTTTAGTAAACAACAAATTTTAATTAGACAATTAAGCGGCTAGCATTTTTCCTCTGGAATACTTTATCAACGGAGAAAGAATTTGAATAAATTGTTGCCGACGCAGCTATTAAGAGGTTTTAACTTGGGGTTTACGATCTGGATCTCCTGATAATGGTTGCCTGTAAATTCACTTTCGCTATCCGTTTAATCTCGACAATTCCTCTACTTTCTTTCATTGATTCTGAATATTCGTTTTACCTAAATTGAAGAATGTAGGTTTTCTGTGTTTTCGTTTCTGTTACCTAACCTCATATATATGTCATCTACTTATTGTTAATGTTTCTGTTTGTATTCTAGTACCTTACATCTAAGTCCCTATATTCGATACTTTTTTTATTGATGAATTTTAAATGCTAGGCGGTGCCTACATTAACGGTATAAATACTGACTTATTGCTAGTAGAGTATGATAAGATGAGCATGAACTCAGGTCAGTTAGCCTATCCTGGCGACTTCAGCAGAAATTAATCACGACGATTTCCATAGTGGACCGCGTGGAGGTCTATCGTATAGTTATTATATACTTTATTGTACAGTAACAACGTTTAAAGTGACAGGATACTACAATTGTATTCATACATTTTAACTCAAAAATGTAAAGTTACAACAATTATTTAAAAGAGAGACACCAAAGTTTCTTGTCCCTATTTCTTGTACTTTATTTACAATTTGACGAGACATAGGTATATTCAATTGAGGTGTAATAGTGAGAACTATTCAAACTGCTTAGATTTAAGTTTATTGTAATAATGATTTTTTTATTCTAATACTATTGTACTGAATATTATTGGCACTGTTTGGTCTTTTCTTAACAATTGTTAATGTATTTAAAAAAACTCGACAGTAATTATTTTCACAGAGAGAGTCAAGGCTACATTAAAACTCAGACTTGGACCAAACTTAGACATAAATCGTGAGTTGAAATATGGCCAAACCAATAAAATTTTGGGTGTCATTTTATGTTTCTTATTTACCTTACCTTACCTTTCTAGTGACAGATACTTTGACAGCTGACCAAATTAATCCCTAAGAAAACTGTAGGTAAATCGTCTCAATAATTTATTTACTGCCTTCACAGCCGCCGCCGTCATAAATATATACGAATATGTATATCTAAATAAAAAATATATCTGTGCATTATAACTTTATAATAACCTTCCTAAACTTTTCCCCTAGTATTTTTCTTTGAACATGAAATTCTGTTACGTACTTTTCTTCACTTAATGCAAACATGTCATTATAAAAAAAACCTATTGACGGCTCTAGAGACATGATTTTGCAATGAACCAGCGATTGGAGTGCTTGGCAATGTTTTCCGTGCTCATGAATAAACAATATCAATCCCTGAGTTGCCTCGTAAGCAACGCCGTTTCCGCTGTTTGAAATTTACTTTTAAATAAATGTAGTAGTGGGTGAACTTATTGTAAACTAACTACCAAAATAAGAAACTTCTCAGTTCAATTTTTATTTATTACTGAAGTTTACAAAAATACAGTAGAACAGATCACTATTTTTGTAATCGAATCTTTGCAAATATTATAAGAAACATGTTTGTTACTACGCGAAATTGTACAGTGTCCTCAGTCAACATTTGTCTTCAAAATATATTCTCATAAGGCTTTGTAGATAGTAACGAGGGACAGAATGTAATTTTAAATGCTATTGGAGAAAAAAAAAACTTCTAACTGATTTTTATCTCTCAGCACATAAATACAAAACACTAGTGATGTTACTTTTTAGTTTATCGTTGTCTAAATTTATTAAAAAAAAAGAGAATGAGAGGCGATTTTGTATGTCAATAAAATGGCAAACAAGTTGTCGTTCCACTTAATGGTAAGTGTGTTTTTTCCATCCATGTGTTTTTTCCATACACATGTCCATTTGTGCGTTGCTGTTTTGGAGGATTATGATGTTTTTCTTATGGATGATAATGCAATGGTGCATCCGCCTGCGCTAACAGTTCACGTTTTCGGGGGACCAGTAGAGGATGATAAGATGAGGTCGGGTCATTTAGCCCATTGTGATAAATTCACAGTGAATTTATCACAGTGGTTTCCAGGGCAACCACGGGGCATCATTAGCTATTAGTTCACATAACCTAAAATTCCTTTCCCCCCGGTAAGGCAGACGTTCGAACGTAGCAAATTTTTTACAAGTCTACCTCAGACCCTAGCATGCGTTATGACGATCTATCGAGGTACGTATATTGTCTCGCTTGTTGCTGTCCTAATCCAAACATGCGAAAGCCTTAACGAGAGAGGAATAGCGGCGGAGCTCGGGTTGAGTTATGGCAACAATAGATTAAAGTCCACGTAACAGATTGTAGAAACACTTTCATACACACTTAAATCTTAAGCCAATTTATTTTGTTTATATATTAACTTAACCGTGCCGTTCCCTAACTTGTCCCATAAAGACCTTCATAGATATATGTAAGTACCGTAATGTGCCATAATAATTAAAAAAAAAATGTAATTATACTGTGTTTTATGTGTAATTTTCAATTCGAACTAATAATAAATGAATATAAGCCGATGAATATGTAATATTAATCCTGCTTTATATTAAAAGGGTTATAGTATAATAGTTTATTATTATACTATAACCCTTTTAATATATAGTATAATAGTTTATTAGACAATATCAAATAATATCGCTTATCACATACCACAAATGGTTTATACAACCACATTATATATTATAATAGGCTGCCTTTTAAATTGTGTCGTTTGAAAGAAGTATAGAGAATCTAATAGATTACTACCATTTATTGTTTTTCAAAATATTCTCCGCGACATTTAATACACTTTTGCATACGTTCAAACCAGTTTTTAAAACATTTATTCCACTCCGAAGTTGGGGTAGTCAAAATGGCCGATTTGTACGCGTCAACAGCTTCTTCGGGTGAGCTGAAACGTTGACCACGAAGACTTTTCTTAATTTTGGGGAACGTAAAAAAATCGTTAGGGCTTAAGTCAGGGCTGTAAAGCGGATGATCCAAAATTTCGACATTTTGGGTGCTCAAATACATCTTTGTTTGACGGGCGGTGTGCGAACTTGCATTGTCATGGTGCAGTATCATACGACGTCTTGAATTGTTTTTTCGAAATTCGGTGATAACTTGTGGCAAACAAACAGTGGTATACCAGTCAGCGGTAACCGTCTTGCAATCTTCAAGTACAGTAGTGGCGACATGACCACCCTTTGCCACAAACGAGGCAACCATTTTTTTTTTATTGCTCCGTGAGCGAATGATTTTGGTCGGCTTTGGCTCATCCTGGAAGACCCAAACAGTTGACTGCTGCTTAGAATTTGGATCGTAAGCATATATCCAAGACTCGTCACCACTAACCATATCATAAACATGCTTTGACTCTCCTCGGTTGAATCGCTGCAGAGTTTTGCGACACCAACTAACACGGGCTATTTTTTGGTCGTCGCTAAGCAAATGTGGTATCCAACGAGAGATCAACTTTCTTACGCCAAGTTCTCCATGCAGGATTTTTTGGACAGTGGTCCCTGAAATGTCCACGGATGCCTCTATCTCACGGTATGTCACATGACGATCTACGAGGATTAGTTGCCGCACGGCTTCAATATTCTCTTGCGTCATGGCGGTTTTTGGACGACCTTCACGTGGCTTGTCACTGAGGCTAGAGTGCCCACGTTGAAATTCTATATACCATCGTTCTATAGTCCTACGACATGGTGCTACATCAGCAAACACAGAAGTGATTTCCTCAAAGCACTGAAGTCGCGATAATCCCCTTTGATAGTTGTAAAAAATTATCGCACGCAAATTTTCCTTAGTGATTTCCATTTTTACAACTGACTTGTCACCTTTGAATAGACGATACAATAAAACTATTCGACCAATCTGAAAACATTCTTTTGTTTTCGAATTCTAAATTCAAAAAGATGTAAATGCCATATGCTTTTTTTTTTTTTTTTAATAAACGCGGGAGGTTGGCAAACGACAAGACTTAAAAGGCAGCCTAGGTAACCAATCTTTCTTACAATCTACATGTCAAACTACAACAGTATCATTTCAGTTTCTTCGAGAAAATAAGGTAAATATTTAGTGGGAAACCTTTCTTTGATATCACTTTTTATTGAAAATACGAAGCGAATCAAACTACAAAGTAAAGAAGTGTCTTCGTTTCCGGCTCGGAGCTATTGTGCCCAGGAAATAGGAACTAAAAATGTGTATAAAAGCTATGTTTCCCTTGTCGTTTGCACTGAGTAAGGTCGGGTCAATAAAAAACTCAAACCGAACCCAATTTAACATCTTATAAATTATAGATAGACAGATATATTTTATTTTTATTTAATGCCAATAATGTAATATAAATTTCTGAATTGGTTTTTGAAGTGGCCTCATATTGTACTTTTTATAAAAAATATTACTAATAGACTTATAATCGTGCTGTGATTATAAATGGTGAAAGCTCTATTCGTTTCGTTACAGAGATCAGATTGGCAAATTGAGCACGATTTATATTTTGGTTCGAATCCAGAAAGGGTAGAGTCGTCACAGGTACTGGCACAATCGCGTACTAAGATTGTGGAATCTGTAAGAAAATATAATTACTCAGTATACAAGTACAATTAAGAAAAAAACTATACAAAAAATTGAAAAATTCTTTCACCATCTTGAAAATGTGTTGATAGTCTTCAGACACCTAAATATATTATTTTCATAAATTATACAGGCAGAAATTCAGGAAATCATAATAATGATTCTTTGTAATGGTTTTTATCACGTTATATTTCAAATATATAAATAAGACATTAAAATGAGTCTATATTCATGGAAGCTATGATGTCACAAACTGTAGAAACAAATGGACGAGTCTGCTATCTGCATTTATGAGTTTGGAGTGAGATAGATCGAAATCTGCAGTGTCAAATAAAAAATATTCGGTCCATGAAACTAATTAAGTATGTAGTGGTGATAATATTTATAAATGGATATAACTTGTAGTATATTCGAAATTTTTTAAATGTGAAGAATTCATGTACCTAATGTGTAAGCAATTTTAATAAGTTGTCATCATCTGCTTCTTCCTTATCCCATTTATTTGGGGTCGGCGTAATATGTTTTTCTCTTCCATTCATCCCTGTTCGCAGTCATCGCGTTATTTACTTCCTTTCTTACCATATCATCTTTCACACAGTCCATCCATCTCTTTTTCGGCCTTCCTCTGCCCTTATAACCATCCACATTCATTTGTAACATCTTTTTTAAATATTATCCTCGTTCCTACGCATTACATGTCCATACCATGATAGACTCTTCAACCTCTCTGACACCGGTGCCACTTTCATACTTCCTCTAATGTATTCATTCTTTATCTTATCCATTCTTGTCACACCACACATCCACCTCAACATTCTCATTTCAGTTGCATGCAGTCGTCTTTCATCCGTCGCCTTTACGGACCAGCACTCTGATCCATACAAGACAGCAGGCCGGATCATGGTCTTGTAAATTTTCCCCTTAAGCTTAAGGGGAACACGCGAGTCACACGTCGTTACCGTAACCTGCCGCCACTTCATCCATCCTGCGTTAATTCTATGCTTTATGGTCCTGTCAATTTTAACAAGTTGTAAGTTATAAAAATGACAAAATAGGTCACCTTCATTGAATCGTCATAATTATTTTGTTATTACCTACGGATATGACCAGACCTAATCAGGATTCCGAGCAGGTTCTCTAGGGCATTTTATTAAAAATTTCTTCCGTTACACCGACAATCCTCCTGACGCTTTTAGGTTCAGTTTTTTTTATATTTTACGGTCATACAATAAGTATGAGTAAGTATAAGTTAATATAGCACATAACACATAAATATGCAATAATAAGTATGTGATGATATTATTAAAAATAAACACTGCCCGGCAAAGCGTCAACCTATACGGTACCTTATTGTACTTTCGAACCACTCAGAAACTATTGATATATATACATATAAAATTCATTCAAATCAGTCCAGCCGATTAGTATGAGATAATAAAATACAGAAGAATATTATATCTCCCCTTGTGTTACATGTTACATACCCATATGTATTAGTATATGTATTAGTACTTACTCTGACTTTGAAACGTTTTAGTGATACAGGCATTATGACCTTTATGACAATACTTCACTGTAGTTCTTCTATCAGGAGCAAAACAAGTTGGGTTATTGGCACTGCTACAAGCGTAACAAATTCTATTGTTTTCTAACAACATAATTTTTGATTCGGATATACGCGCAATGCCACGGCCTTTCGTCGGTTCAATATATTCATCAGGTTGTTCCTCATTTTTATATTCTCGGGAGATTTCAGGCTGACTAATACTCTGTTCTACTGGATTTATTTCATTGTACCTTTTCACCTCGTCATTAGTACTAATTTGTTCATTATTTAATTTTCTCGTTTGCGATTGAAACTTCTGATCAATGCTCTCTTTGATAAATCCATTTCGTTCACCTAAATTGTATCTATTGTCTATTAAGACTCTGTCCAACTCAATACCATTACCTCTATTTGGAATAAAAATATTATTTTTATCTACTAAGTATCGTACTATTTTGTTTTCCGAATAGTCTGTAATATTCTTATTGTCATCATTAAATTGTGAATTTTGATCAAATTTGATACCCGAATTTAATCTGGAAATACTTTTTTCTTCAATAATGTGCGGGATTTCATTAGGGTTGTTTTGAGATTTTGCACTATCTGTATTGACACATTTTATTTGTTCAACATTATTTTCATTAGATTTATTAGTTTGTACCATTGAATCGGGAACATTTATATGAACTGAAAATGTATCTTTTTTATTCTTATTATGGTCATTTTGATCATAACTGTTTGATCTGCGGAAGTTAGAATCTTCATTGACTGTTGGTAATGGAAATTTCATTTTCATATTCCGCTGCTTTAAATTATCTCTTGTATCTGTATCACGTTCGGAATTACCTTCTAATAATACATCATTATCATCTTTAGCTGAGTCTTCACCCTTTAATGATTGATAAATTAAATTCTTTTTACCGGTGAAACTATTTTGGTTGCTTAGCAAAAGAGGTTTGATTATCTGTGTTTTATAAGTAGGGAGCCATTCTTGTTTATGTACTTCATTTAGTATATTTTGCGTATTCCTTAGTTTATTGCAGGGTTTTGTAGATCTTCGGAAAGATCCATAATAAATATCTGGGTAAACATCAAATGTCTGAAGTGGGTAATATGAGTTTATATTGCTTTGATCAACAGATTCAAAATTTAAATCAGTAGCATCTGCATCAACTGAACATCCTGAAATGGCGAAAATATTTTTAATCATATCGACTAATGTTATAATTAAAACAGTTAAAAAAATAACACACCTGTGAAAAAATATATATTGTATAACAAAAAGAATCCTGATTTCCTAATCATGTTGTTGTATCAAATCCAACTTTTTTTATATTTTGACGACTTCCCTTCTCTGAACCTTAAAGCTAACTGACTGTTTACTCTTAGTAAATTGAAATAAAATATAGAAGTGTACAATGTCGGGTTGGAATTTTATCGCTAAAAGCTGTAAACCAATATCAATCTATTGTTTTGTGAATATACTCTCAACGGAAAAATATTCTAAGAAAACAATAGATGTTCTGCAAAAATGGTTTTCATTGTTCCATAGTGCAGTTAACGATTATTGTAGTGTTGGTAAAAATATATAGGTTATAAATCGTCTTTTTAAACATACAGACTTATTGTAAATACTTTTTTTACTAATATAATACTAAGGATTATATTATACAATGAAGAATGTTACGAAATCGGTCGAAAGTTTGATATAGTAAAGTTTGTATGTATACAAATATACTAGTTTTTGTTTTAGTCAAAAATGTCTATTAGTTTTGATTTTATAGGCATTTAAATTTACGATAAATTTTGAGTCCCACTAACAGTCACGTGACGTGTGACGTCATTTTACAACGGTTTGCTCCGCATAGTAGAGAGTCGTCAGTATTTTGTTTTGTTTTCATCCGCGCATTACGTTATTATTCTATTAATTAATTAAATGGATGAGGGATTCGAAAAATGGCAATCGGATAATATGCTTAAAATATATGCATTAATGGTTGCCCATTATTTATCAACAAATAGTGATTTCGTTGACGCCGAAATGCGAGGAATAAAAATGAAAAGGTAAGTTAACTTTTCTTGCTATTTAGAAAATGATTTATCTGTCTTAAACTGTTTTGTTAAAAAAAATACCCAACTGATGTCATATTGCAAGTATTGCAACTCAAATAGACAAAAGTACCAAACCTTTTAAGTTTTACGTTATAGACAACAAATATGTATTAGAATTTTATATCTATAGGTACGTATGTATATCTGTGAATATAGGTACCTCTCTTAGTAAATTTAACTAAACACATATTGATTTAGAGTGGGTTGAACAGATGTACTAAATTTTTTTAAAATTTTGAGTTGTCTTTTTAATAATATTCGTAGGCCGTTTCATTTATTTTTATTTGTAACTTATTCCAAGTCGGTAAGAGACAGCTTTGGTGATGATGCTATCGGTTACATACAAGTAAAAAGAGCAAGTGATGTTTGTATGGTCAAATGCAGAATCACGCGCGAACACAGCGTACGTACCACACGGTACCGTTGCAGTTTAGAATGTAATGAAAACAACCAAGAAGTTTTAAACGTAACTTGCGAAGACTGTGCCGCCAGCAGAGGCTGTAAACGTACTATAGCATTTTTAATGTGGCTACATCGTCGAAGAGAGGATCCGACGACTGTTATCAAATTTGTTGAATTTTTT